GGGGGGGAGAGCCTGGAGTAGCTTTTGTGTGAGTTGCCAGGTTAGGGCTTTCTGTTACCTTACGTGCTAAGCTGCTTAGTTGTCTGGTACTTCTGCTTATGTTTTTAATGCCCTTGTTCAATCTTTTTTCATCATGTTTATTGTGAGTGCTAGCTCTAACTGTTCTTCATTTAACTCTTTTAAACTTCATTTATTGTTTTTTGACATATTGTTGGGTAACAATTTCAAATTTCTTTTGCAAAGCCTTTTTTTGCATAAAATATTTTTTTCACATGTCGGGGATCTTCACAGAAATTGCCTCTGTACCTCTTTTTTGGTGGGTGGGGGTAGCCTGCAGTAGCTTTTGTGCTAGTTTAGCCAGGTTAGGGCTTTCTGTTACCATATGTGTTAGGCTGCTTAGTTGTCTGGTACTTCTTCTTATGTTTTTAACACCCTTGTTCAATCTTTATTCATCATGTTTATTCCGAGTACTAGCTCTAATTGCTCTTTGTTTAACTCTTTCAAACTTCATTTATCGTTTTTCCACATATGGGTAACAATTTCAAAATGATTTTGCAAAACCTTTATTTTGCATAAATTATTTTTTTTGCAAGTCGGGGATATTCACAGAAATTGCCTCTGTACCCCTTGGGGTGAATGGTCTGTGTACAATTTACCCTCCCGAAACCGTACTGTTGTGGGATCTACTAGGTTTGTTTAGTTTGGTTTTTAAGTCCGTCTGTTTTCCAGAATCCATGCATGATGAAAATGCTGAATTTGTTTTATTTTATAATTATTGACATCCAGGTGTTACCTGAATTCCGGAGACATTGATCGTGGGCACAAAGTCTTTGAAGAATACATGAGCTCAGGCAACCCGCCTATACCAGAGCTTTACACCGTAAGTTTAGGATTATGTTTAGTTGAGGAGTGTGGGCATAATTGATTAGACTCCTTTAGTTAGACTTGTACTATGTTCAATACATAAACAAGGGTTTCTCATATACCAGAACAATGTCATTCATGCAAATAATTTTGGTTTCTATATGAACCATGTATTGTGTGTGTAAGTATATACACTTTTCAGGATCATTATTCACTATAGACGGTAGGTTATACCTCCAAGCACAAGGCTTATATACACACATAGAGCCCATTCTTTTACAAACCCAATAAATGTTACAAACTTTCAAACCAGTTCTCATACGTGTTAAAACTCAGTTTTTATACATTGATGTTTCATATGTGAAATATTCACGACTTCTTTCTCCACACGCAAAATGCTCCTTAACGTGTCACATATAAAACAACACTGTATAAACACTGCATTTTCACACATGTTTCATATACACATGAAAACTGGTTCATAAGTTTGTAAATTTATCGGGTTTGTAAATGATTATTGGTCTATATATAAATATATCCTAGAATGGGTGACCCTGGATTGCAGTCTTTGCTAAATTGTTTTGAACTGCTGGCAACTTGTCTTTCTGAAATCAAAAGAGAATTGTGTAGCTTTTGACTCTCAGAGATGAATAGAATCCACTAGTACTAGCAATCATTTATACACGATGTTCTAGCAATAAGATTTAAATATGTCAATCACTCGTCAATGTCTAAGGCTGGGATTGTCAGTAATGCTACATAAGCAGTTAACTACTATAATTCTAGGGTGCAAAGTCGGTATGAATTTCTCCCATAGTTTATAAACATGTCAATATTCCGTTCTGGTAAGATATTATGAAAAAACAGTGCATTTAAAAACAGCCGGCTGGCAGCCTTTCCATCTATTCCTCAGGACTCCTAACCTTCTGTGAACACACGTCAAGGATTTAGAGCTTTGTTTTACTCCCTCTCTCAAAATAAATGTCCATATTTCTATTTTAGTTTGTCCCAAAACCTATTCTACCCTTAATTATGAGATGGGAAATTCATTACTCCATCTATTATTAAGGGAAAAATTGTCATCTAATTCATTTAGGAGTAATAATTACATATTTCTAAAACTGTGCGCGTTTTTCATTGTGGACATTTATCTTGGGACGAAAGGAGTATCTATTTGCATGACCTGGTAAACAGCTATCTTTAAGCTTGAAAAATCATTTTTGGTTTCTCATTTGTTGATGGTTTACTTGAGCTTAGCTTCAATCATTAAGATTAGCAGTATATGTTCAGCCGGAGTTGCAATTCCGGCTGTCAACCCCATTAATATCATCATTAATTAACTCGTTTGCTCTCTGAACTTGCATTACCTTTAAGTTCTTAAACATGAACCATATTACGTCGTCGTATCTGGAAAATTTTGTCCATATGCTTGTATCATTTGGACTTTATGTTCTAAAATGTCTTCTTATTCCTGTAGACGCTTGTAGAAGGTGCCATGACTGGTTATACGCCCAAGGGTATAAAGATCGCTCTAGACACACTGGTAAACTACTGATTATATGGCCCCATATATGTGTGTATGCATGTGTATATATATAGAGAGAGAAGGGGGGT